GGGGTTGGGAAGTAGGAGGACCAGGCCCCTGGGCCAAAGGAAGAATCAGGACAGAAGACCCCAAGTAATCCAAAACAAGACAGGCTCATCCTTTTGTTCCCTTACGGGGCCAACCGTTCTTCTAGGGGAACCGGGCCGATGACCGTTGTGTAAAACCGATGTGTCCAACGGTGGTAAGTGCGGTGGAGAGAAGTGAAGCAAGGGGGTAGAGAGCGGAAATTGTACTTTCAGAGAAAGACTCATTGGGAAGGTGAAATTTAAGAGGTGAGATAAAAGCTACTGGGACGCCTCTGGGAAGGGCGCTCCAGGCAGAGACCAGCCGGCAGGAAAGCTTTGAGGGAAAACACGCCTAACTGGTCCAAGGAGCAGAGGGCAGCCTCTGGCCCACGGTAGTGTGGGAGTTGAGATCAGAGAGAGAAACGGGGCGGGGGCACTGATCGGCTAGGACCTTCTAGGCCGTTTCCCGGTTTCCCGGGAAGGACTTGGGCAGGACTCTCCCACTCCTAAAGAGATGAGAAGGCTTTGGAGGGCTTCTTCCTGCCCGCCCCCCCCGCTTTTTTGTTTTGTTCTATTTCTAGCATTTTTAATTGCTATATAGTGTCAAACCTCCGCAAAAGCCCATTGTTTCCGTTTGTCTCATTTGCTTTGTCATTTCTCTCCAAAGACAGCATGCATAGAAAATACTCACTTTCCAGGGTTGCTTGGGTGGCTCAGTCGGTTGAGGGTCCAGCTCCTGGTTTTGGCTTAGGTCATGATCTCATGGTCGCCGAGATAGAGCCCCGGGTGGGGCTCTGTGGCTAGCAACGTGGAGCCTGCTTGGGATTCTTTCTCTCCCTCTCTCTTTCTGCCCCTCCTCCACTCCTGCTGTCCCTCTCTTTAAACAAATAAACCTAAAAAAAAAAAAAAAAGAAAATATTTGCTTTCTGAACCATTTGGAAGTACACTGGAGACATTAGGCCCTCTTGCCCCCAGTTACTGGGTGTGTCTTTCCCAAGAACAAGGACATTCGTAACATAACAGTACAGTTATCAGTATCAGGATATTAAAGTTAATATAATACCATTATTTAATCCCCAGTCCATATTCAAATTTCCTCAAGTGTTCCAGTGATGTCCTTAATAGCTTTTTTTTTCCTGATCCAAGATGCGGTCCAGGATCTCATGGTTGCATTTAGTTACTGCGTCTCTGCGGTCTCATTTAATCTAGAAGAATCTATCGTTAAATCTTCACAGTTTTGAAGAGACCAGCGTGATTTTGGAGCTGGTCCTTCCGTTTAGTTTGTCCGATGGCTCTTCACGGTTAGAATCAAGTTATTCAGATTATGTACTGGGGGCAGGAACATCCCAGAAGCGACGGCGTGTCCTTCTGAATCATGTCAGAAGACACGTGTCAATTTGTCTCAATACCGAGACGCTGACTTTGATCACTCAGTTGGATGGCATTGGCCACATCTGTCCACTGTAAAGTTATTAGCCCCCCCCACCCCGAATAGTAATTAATATGTACTTTGTGGGAAGACACTTTGAGACTCTTCGCTACATACAGCCCATTAAAGTTCAACCACTACTCCAGTATCCATTGATGACTTCTAACTCCAGCACTGTTTCTGCATTTATTAGTTGGGCAGTTGACTATACAATATAAAAAGAGCTATCCCCTTCCTTCCCATTTTATTTCTTTTTCCTGTTATGAACTTTGGCGTCTCGATTCAGTGAATCATGGTCCACCACAATCGTATTTTAATGCTCACATTGTCCCAGATTTAGCCAATGGGACCTCCTTTAACTGTAACCCTGAGCCGTTGGGTCTCTTTTTAAAATAGATACGCAAGATTCTTTGAGCATTTCTTTCCTTTCCTGGGCAACAAGATGTTCCAAGATCGTCTTATAATTCCCTAACCTGGAACCAGCCTTTTTTCCTAGGAGCCCTGGTTCATTCGAGCGGAACGCGGTATTTAGTAACCAAGATCCGGGCACTTGGTGTGCTTGTTGGTTCTTGTGTATCTTTCCTTCTAGGCTCTCTCAGTGGAGCAAGCTAGGAGATATATGTATTTCTATATGTGGTGTATGCGCACACATTTCTTTCTGTATCTACACACATTAAAAGCCATGAATTCATTTTGATATCCCATTGGAAGGCTTCAAAGAGAGGAAGGACAGAATCTGATGTATGTTTTAAAAGGATCACTAAGCCCAAGGTGTTCAGAGGAAGAAGAGAAGAAGCAAGGAAATAATTTAGGGGCTATTGTAACAATCTGGATGCAAGATGTGGGGGCTCGGACCAGGGTGTAGTGGTGATGTTTTGACAAGCAGTCACGTTTTTTTAAACCCGTTTTAATAAGAAATCGTGACTGATTTGATGTGGAGTGGGTGTGTGACAAAGAGACAGAATCGGGGGTGATCCTAAGGCTTTTACTCTGACCAACTGAAGAAATGGAATTTTCCATTACTGAACTAGAAAGTGCAGGTGACGTTCATTTTGGGGAGGCCAAGAATTTGTCTGGCCAATTTATTTGTGATTCCCTATTAGATATCCAAGTGGAAACGGTAAGTAGGTAATAATATATATGCATCTGTAATTCGGGGAAGAGTTCTGGAGCCGGAGATGAACATTCTGGACGTACTAATGTGTTATTCGTTGATGTTTATAAGAGTGAGTACAGATAGAGGTTGGAAAAGCGAGCCAGTGGGAACACTCCGACATTCAAGGATCCCGAAGGTGTTGACCCACCAAAGGAGTCTGTGTAGGAGCTGTTCATGATGTAGAAGGAATATCAGAAGAGTTAGGGTGTCCTAGGAGGCAGTGAAGAGAGCGTTTCTAAGGGGGAGAGTAAGCATCCGTGTCAGCTGGTGCCAAATAGCGATCAATGGGTTTAGCAATGCGACGGTCATTTGGTAAACTTAACAGGAGCATCTTGGAGGAATGGGGTGGGGGGAGGCACTTGATTAGAGGGGGTTCCAGAGAGAATGGGAAGACGGCATGGGGGAGAGTGGGTGTATGGTAACATGCTTTGCGGGAGAGGGGAACAGAGACGTGGAGTGGTAGATGAAGGGCCTCGTGGAGTGGGGTTGAGAGGAGGGAGACAGAAACAATCTCGGAGGAGACGGGCAGGGGCGTGGGTCAGGGAAGCGGAATACGCCGGCGGTATGGCACTGGGCAGCGTGCTGGGCTCGGTGAGGGGGAGGAACTCGGAGACGCGGTTCAGGGACACGGTCGCCAGAGCGTAAGGCCCGCGAGGGGGCGCTCGCGGGCTGGTCGCGGGTGGCTGAATCCCGAAGAATAAAGGCCGGATCCTTCCCGGGGAAGGAGGCGCTAGAAAAACAAAGGCCTTTCTCCTTCGAAGGCAAGGATAGCCACTCCCAAAAGTACGCACGCTGTGAGCAGGATTCGAACCTGCGCGGGGAGACCCCATTGGATTTCGAGTCCAACGCCTTAACCACTCGGCCATCACAGCCGCGTGCGGCTTGGGGCCTGCGCCACTATAGCTGCCTATCAACGGGCCCGCCTCCCGCCGGCCCCGCCTCTCCGCCTCGAGACGTCTGTGCGCGTGCGCCTCCCCGCGGCAGTGCGGGCCTCACCTCCTCGCCAGCCGCCGGAGGCCTGCGGAAGGGGCGGTTCTCGCGTTCTCGCTCCCTGCCCCAAGTCTCAGGACGGCCCCAACAAAATGAGGCAGAACCCGAACCCAAGCCCAGGGCGCCGTGCCCTTGAACGCATGGGATGCCCGCGCCACCCTGGTTCCTGAAAGCGAAGTGGGGGTCGGCCTGCCGATTCACGCTAAAAGTGCGCGGGAGCGGAAGCTCAAGGTGGAAACGGCTTGGTAAGAATAAGAATCTCTGGAAAGGCGCCACAGAAAGACCCTTCGGGAAGATTGGAGAGACGCGTTGCCCTCGGAGCAATAATATACCGCTTTCTGCGGACCCAGGCACCGCTGGGATTCGAACCCAGGATCTCCTGTTTACTAGAC